CCAGACACCATATCTTTTGATAGCCAGGCACCATCAGCTTTCTTCACATTTGCTTACGCACACATTTTGTCTTCAGCGATTGTGTCGGGAAGGTGAGCAACTGGGATGACTTATTTTAACGGGTATGCAATTTCAATCACAGAAGATATAATCTGGGTAAGCATTGTTAAAATAGTTTTTAAAAAAGTTAACCTTTAAAACTGAAAATTTTCTATTGGTAAATTAAATGAAACCTTATGCTCCTCCAGTACTCCATTGGTGATGCCATCTCAACAACTAAAATAAGTCACTGTTTGTTTCCATATCAATTAATAGGAAACGTAAAAGGTAAATATCTGACTTTACACTAGCACCACAGGTGAACCCATTATGTCCCAAGGCTAATTAATCACACCAAATTTAAGCAAGAGAGAGAAAAGTGTGTGTAATACTCTAAAGAAGCAATTCTCAACCTGTGGGTCGCGACCCCTTTGGGGGTTGAACGACCCTTTCACAGGGGTCGCCTAATTCATAACACTAGCAAAATTACAGTGACGAAGTAGCAACGAAAATAATCTATGATTGGGGGGGTCACTATAACATGAGGAACTGTATTAAAGGGTCGTGGCATTAGGAAGGTTGAGAACCACTGCTCTAGAGAAATACATATAAAATAACAAAACAAGAATATTAGTAATAGCTACTATTATAATGATTATTTTTGAGCAGCATTCAAAGCACTTTACATGCATTGACTCATTCAATCCTCACAATGACCCTATGAGGTAGAAGCACCTGGGGAAAAGGGAAGCTAAGTTATTTGCTCAATGAACTCCACAAGCAAATGGATGAGTGAGATTCGAGCCCAAGTTATAAAGCAATACTCACAACAAACTATAATTTAGAACTCAGAAATTCAACATCTGTAGAAAAATGTACACAGAACAGGTAAAATTTAAGGTAATAAGACTACAAAACACCCATGCAGAACAGAAACCATGCAAGAACTATAGGAGCTAATAATCTTGGAGAATAAGTAACTGAGGTGGATCATGGTTGCTCTTCTGAGCAGTAAGGTGGTTTGCATGCAAAGGAAATTAGGTTCTTTTTTCTGAATGTCTTATATGCTAGGCAACCAATAAATGACAGGCCGCCGCTAGGATGGCCCCAACCAGCCCATGTCCCTTGTATTCACACCTGTGTAAATCTCCTACTGCAGGGGAAGTCTGTCTGCCCAACCAATAGAATACAGCAGGTTGAACTAAAGGCAATTTTAGGAAACTGGAAACAGAATTGCATACCAACAGACTATCATTAAATAGAAATATTAAGTGTGTTCTTAGGACAAAAAGAAAATTATCTCACATGAATTGCCAGACGTGCAGAAAAAAAGGAAATATGTAAACATACGGATAATAGTAATTCAATATGGACCGTTCAAAACAAAGTATGTTGTATGGGACAAATTTTTACTGGAATAAAATAAATAACACAAATGACATAAAAG